CAACCACCCACGAAGAGGTAACAACAATGACGATGATGATGTTGAAGAAGAAAAAGTACTAGAAGAGGAGGGAAAAGGAGGAGGAAGAGGAGAAGAAGTAGAGGAGAGAAGGAAGGGGAGATACTGATGACAACACGGAAGAAGGAGAAAGGAGAATGACGAGGTAACAACGATGATGATGATGATGAAGTATCGGAAGAGGGAAAAGGAGGAAGAAGAGGGAAAAGGAGGAGGAAGACGAAGAGGAGGAGGAAGAGGAGAAGAAGAAAAGGAGTGAAGGAAGAGGAGACACAGACAACAACAATGAAGAAGGAGAAAATGAAAAAGTAACAAAGATAATAGTGAAAAAGAAGTATAAGAAGAGGAGAAGGAAAAGGAGGAGGAGGAGAAAGAAAAAGAGGAGAAGAAGAAAAAGAAGACAACTCTTGACCTTAGAGAAGTCTTTGCTGATCTTGACCATGTCCAGCTCTTTGTTCAGAGTCTCCAGCATCTTGTCGTCCAGGCCCGAGCCACACTTGGACACGGTCACCCAGCGGCCAGCGTCTGGGTCATACACGCCCATCAGAAATATGGACATGATGCCACCTGGGCAAAAAGAGAACGTAATAATAACCACAAAAAGACCCACGGCTACTAGGAAACACTGCCGTAAGCTGACAGAACGTCTTTTTATTCATTTTAGCGCCACATTTTTTTAATTTGCTAAATCGAAAGCCTGATCAGTTACCCTACTTGTGTGAAAAAAGCAAAGTGAAACTGTGACAAGTTTTTGAAAAAATTAGAATTCAAATTTTGGAGGAACTCTTTTTTTCTTTAAACAGTTACTCTGAAAAAAAACAAACTTTTCCTCAAATGGCGTTTTGTCAGCTTGCTGCAGAACAGTGGTAAAAGTGCAGTACAGTAGTACATCATGCTTTGATTGTCTGCATAGAGTGGCTCCTTCAGATCACTTATCTTTACTCAAACTTAAACAAGAGGGTGGGTGGTGGTTGGGTGCTTTGGTGTGGTTGTCTTCTTTTTTTCTATCAAACTTCTATCGTCCTCATCTCTCCTCTTTCCTTTCTTTGTATTTTATTCTCCTGTTACGCCTCTAATCTTCAACACTTATAACACCAAATTGTGATTTTGCAAGTGTCGTAAAACTCTTATAAAAACAAAACTGAAACAAAACAGCTCATAGGGCACAAGGACACACACAGTACACCCACCTTTGTTCCCTGTGCCAAAATAAGCCCCGAGCACCACCAGATCAGCAGAGTCTGCCATGCTGCCCTGGTGCAGGTAGTCCTTTTTCACTTTCATCCAGTGACGCTTGCCTGGTTCGTAAATACTCTATGGTGGTGGTGATGGTGTGTGTGCGGGCGGGGGGGGACGCAGGATGGAGGGAGAGGGAGGAGGGAGAGGGAGAAGGGACAAGGAGGGAGGTAGGGAGGAGAAGATTGTTGGTATTGCCATCCAGCCTGAAACCTTCACAGCTAACAATGCTGTGTCTCACAAAGCCATAAATTTCAACAAACAATGCATAACTACAGTTGATGAACACCAACAAGTAAAAAATATCAAACATAATAAAAATGTATCCAACACTATCAACTTTTTGCAGTACCTGCTTTTTGGGCGGAGAACTCTCCTCGCTCACATCATCGCTGGCACGTCGCTTCTCTCCCTTTTTGCCAGGCGTGCTTATTCTTGTCGCACCAGTGGCATCTCCATTTCTTCCGTTTTCCTCTCCACTATTATCACCATCGTCTTCCGTCTCGCTGCCACCGTCATCATTATCATCATCACCTCCTTTGCCCATTGCTCTCATCAAATCACTGTCTGCCTTCTCCTTGGACTCGGCAAACAATTTCTGGAAGAGAGAAAAAAAAAACCCAGAAGATCATTGAAAACCCTAGGTTATCTATTATAATCTATTCAAAATTGCAGTCTTAATGTCTGCACAAAGCACTCTGTGAAAACAAAGGTGCCAACAGGTATAGTACTTTACTTTACTTTTACTTTACTTTTCTCCGCCGCTCATACCCTTTTGGGTGTCGCGGGAAGAAAGAGACGTCTCTATGTCGCCAGCCGGAGAGCTTGGGTCAGGGGGATGCCGTGGGTGGTTAATGTTTCCCTGACTCCATCTATCCAGGTCTTTCACAGGTATAGTACAAATTTTTAAAATGCACTGAGGCTGCTTTTGTTAATTCTCTGTGATCAATGTTTGAACAAAGAACTGACTTTATAATTGTTTTGGTTTCAGTGCGGGTTTTACGGCACTTGCAACATAAGTAGGTCATACATATATCAAAGAATAGAGGTGTTAGCAAAGAGTAACACAATAAAGAAAAGGAGGAGAGATATGGTCAATAGATGTTCAATAAAGAAAGAAGAAAAAAAAACCCCATCTAAGTGTCCCTCAACCACCCAAACTTTATAATCCCCCTTGAAACTATCTCATAAATATAGTAAAATTGTATGCGGTCATTTGTGCTGGCGATTGTCTTAGACAGGTGGTCATAAGCGATTGTTCGATGGTAATTACCTTTAATCTTGGAAGGTCCGTTGCCTCTTTCCAGGTCTTATCATCTCGTATTTTCTGTACTCGAGGGAAGCGGATAGATATCCCATTGGCTGTGTGGATCTCTGCTTTGCTGAACTCAGCACCAATGATTTCCCAAACTGGTGACTTCTTGGGGTCAGCCACAACAAAATCTGGAGTCAGCGGCTTGTTGATATGCAACCACTTTGGCACCTTAGAACAGACAGGAGAAAAAGACACAAATATGAAAGACAACCTACTTTTACATCTTTTACAATTCTTACAAAAATAGTCTTAAAAACCGAAAATAGCAAGGTGAACAGCCAGCCAGCTTGTCATCCTTTCAACACTGTTAGGTTATTAAAGAGGCAAGACCTCCCAATTAAACTGTCCCCGTCGTTTTATGCAAGAAAAATTCTGAAATTATGCAAACTGAGCCCAAAAATGTGAAATTATGCGATCCTGTTAATTTTAACAAAGAATTATAAGGGAAAATAATCAGAAATTATGCAAAAAATGATCAAATATTGCTAAATTATGCGGGATGCATAAAACCACGGGGACAAATTGAACATCAAACTCTGATAGTAACACACCAGAGGGGGTGAGAAGCAGAAGAGTAGGGAAGAGAAGGAAAAGGAGACACAGACAACAGCAATGAAGAAGGAGAAAATGAAGAGGTAAGATTTGGAAGAGGTTTTACGGCACTCGCAACTGCATAAGGTCAATTTTGAGCGCCAGAAGATTAGGTGTTACAAAAGAGTAACAAACAGAAAAAAGAAGAAGGGGAGATAAGGACGACAGATGTTTGATAGGAAAGAAGAAGCAAACCACACCAGAGCACCCACCAACCACCCACGAAGAGGTAACAACAATGACGATGATGATGTTGAAGAAGAAAAAGTACTAGAAGAGGAGGGAAAAGGAGGAGGAAGAGGAGAAGAAGTAGAGGAGAGAAGGAAGGGGAGATACTGATGACAACACGGAAGAAGGAGAAAGGAGAATGACGAGGTAACAACGATGATGATGATGATGAAGTATCGGAAGAGGGAAAAGGAGGAAGAAGAGGGAAAAGGAGGAGGAAGACGAAGAGGAGGAGGAAGAGGAGAAGAAGAAAAGGAGTGAAGGAAGAGGAGACACCGACGACAACAAGGAAGAATAAGAAAATGAAAAAGTAACAACGATAATAGTGAAAAAGAAGTATAAGAAGAGGAGAAGGAAAAGAAGGAAGAGGAGAAGGAAAAAGAGGAGAAGAAGAAAAAGAAGACAACTCTTTACCTTAGAGAAGTCTTTGCTGATCTTGACCATGTCCAGCTCTTTGTTCAGAGTCTCCAGCATCTTGTCGTCCAGGCCCGAGCCACACTTGGACACGGTCACCCAGCGGCCAGCGTCTGGGTCATACACGCCCATCAGAAATATGGACATGATGCCACCTGGGCAAAAAGAGAACGTATAATAACCACAAAAAGACCCACGCTACTAGGAAACACTGCCGTAAGCTGACAGAACACCTTTTTATTCATTTTAGCGCCACATTTTTTTAATTTGCTAAATCGAAAGCCTGATCAGTTACCCTACTTGTGTGAAAAAAGCAAAGTGAAACTGTGACAAGTTTATGAAAAAATTAGAATTCAAATTTTGGAGGAACTCTTTTTTTCTCTCCTCTTTCCTTTCTTTGTATTTTATTCTCCTGTTACACCTCTAATCTTCAACACTTATAACACCAAATTGTGATTTTGCAAGTGTCGTAAAACTCTTATAAAAACAAAACTGAAACAAAACAGCTCATAGGGCACATAGTACACCAACCTTTGTTCCCTGTGCCAAAATAAGCCCCGAGCACCACCAGATCAGCAGAGTCTGCCATGCTGCCCTGGTGCAGATAGTCCTTTTTCACTTTCATCCAGTGACGCTTGCCTGGTTCGTAAATACTCTATGGTGGTGGTGATGGTGTGTGTGCGGGCGGGGGGGGACGCAGGATGGAGGGAGAGGGAGGAGGGAGAGGGAGAAGGGACAAGGAGGGAGGGAGGGAGGAGGGGAGGGGTGGGGGAAGGAAAGTGGAGAGGGAGGGGTGGGGGAAGGAAAGTGGAGGGGGAGGAGAGAGGAGGGAGTTGGGGGAGGAGGAATTCAAACATTTAAAAAAATGAAGATTAAAGTCTCCAGGTCCAAATAGCGGGATCTTATGACATTGGAAATTACAAAAATCTTAAATAAACCTTCACCATTGAGACAGACACTAAAATCCATGTCACACTGACTATCATACAGTTTGCTCTCTGTCCGTCTTTGACTCTCTTGGAGTCTTTTGAGTGGGTCTACACAATTGTGAGAGTCAGCACATGAAAATGAACATGCAACATTTCGTGCCTCTCACACTTTTAAATTCACTTTGAACTTTCTCACCTGACTCTTCTATCAAATTTTCCCTCTCTTTCAAAACTAAAGACATGTACAAAACATGAGAAAAAGAATGAGAATAACTGTAAATTCAAAAATTTTATTTTGAAAAAGAAGAAGCTTCCCCATGACAGTACCTATGTGGGTGGCTGGCGGGTGCTCTGGTGTGGTTATGCTTCCTCTTTCCTATCAAACATCTATTGTCTTTATCTCCCCTCCTTCTTTTTTGTGTTTGTTACTCTCTTGTAACACCTCTAATCTTCTGGTGCTCATATGACCTTATGCAGTTGCGAGCTCCGTAAAACCTCTACTAAACTAAAACTGACAGTACCTATTGCATCTTGTGTAACAGAAGATGCTTCGCCTTAGCACACAGAAGATCTGAGTTAAATTCTCGAGTGGGGACAATTTTCATTGAATATCATGGTCTTCCTGCTGGAACGTTGTACCCCTCTTTCAGCCCAGGCTAGCCTTGATAGATAGGGTCAAAACCTAAATGATCTAAACAGGGTTGATTTTGTTTGTTTTGTTTGAGTAAAGAGAAGCACAACCACACAGTAGAATAGAGGTCATTTAGTGCTGAGAAAAAGTAAGACAGACAGACAGACAGACAGACAGACAGACAGACAGACAGACAGACAGACAGACAGACAGACAGACAGTAACAACAGAGGGGAAATAAAGAAGTAGTACCTACCAGTGGCTCCCTCCGACCACCCGTTAAATCGGGTTGATAGAAGTAAAAAAACAACAACTTGGATTTGAAAACCCAACAACGAAAAATATATATGACAATACAACTCACATTGACATCTTTGAGAACCAGACCTTCCAGTCCCTCTTTGAACACACGAGACATCAAGTCCTGGAGATCACCCGGTTTCTAAACAACAAAAACATTCAGATGTAAGAACCCATTCCACATTTTGCAAAGAAGTAAACGCGAAAAAAGAGAAAGCGAGCTACAAGTTCATGAAGACCGTAGTGCAACATGACTTTTTATTGCCTGACGGAATCACACAGAAGGCCTCAAACACAAGAAGTCTATACCCACAGAGCCCTAAGACAAAAAACGTGGCCAACCTCATTAACATTACAGAAAAAGCTACTCATGGGCCAGCAGAGGAACTAAACAGGATGGCTCAGTACATGACAGACACTGGTCTTCAAATGTAATGCGATTGAAAAGAAGAAGAAAAGGAAATTTATACTCGTACACTGAGTGACTAGTGACTGCTACACTAGAAATTGCAATATGTCGAGTAAACACACATGGCAACAGCAAAGCGCACCAAAATGGAAAAACAAGAAAGAAAACTGTTGCCAGAGGTATACAGGAGGAAAAACTGTACGTTTCGTGGAAATTATTCATACTTATGTCAAATATATCATAGGTCAAAGTGTTTTTGTTTTTTTTTCTTGTTCTTATATAACATAAATAGGTCATTTGGAAAGCGACCCTCTTACAAGAACAGACCCTCAAAGGATAATTCAGTAGAAAAGAGAACAAGATATGTCTACAGGTTCTAGTGTATGATTTTGCACCCTCCCCCGCTAGAAGAAAAAAATGGCATTATACATCTCTCCCCCAATCTCATCTAAACCAAGATCACACTATATGTACCTCAGGGTATTCCTAACTGAACTATAAAATAACCAGAGTAGCTTAGTTCAAACAAAGATTTTGCATGGGTCTTGCACTTTGATACAATATATTATGTTTAAGCTTCCATTACAGGCCCTTCCACAACAGCCCAGACCACAGCAACTACACAAACAACAAAGGTAACAAACATGAAGATGATGATGATGATGATGACAGCCAATAGCAATTCCTCAACCATTAAAAGTTAATAAGTAAAGAAGCTCACGCCAAGAAGACCACCTTACAAGGGTCATTCAAATACATAAAAGACTCACCGTTATGCGTTTAATCTCTGATAAGTTCACCCGATTTTTCACAACAGACATATTCTTTTCCAAGATTTTTCTTCTCTCTTTGATCGATCTATAATTCGTGAAAAAAGAAGAGGGAAAGGACAGGGATAGGGAAAAGAACTTTATAATCTGATCAAGACATGTTTCAAATTGGAAAAAAAATTTTTAACACTGATTGGTCTGGCATCGAGGATTTTACCCCAACAAAACATTAATTGGAGGCAAAATTCCATGGGCTGTGTTTAAATGATCTCTTGTTTAGATCGACAAAACTTTATTCATCACAACACTCAGGAAGGGGGAATAAATAAAAAATATATCCAACAATCAAATGGAGTAAAATAAAAGGCTCATAATCACTGTTTTTCAAGTGTCTGTGGTGTAGCAGTAACAGTTGGACCTTTTAGTATAAGCGTTAAGCCAGAATGAAAACAAATTTTGACTTGCAACCTTTAACTCTTTCACTACTAGGAAAAACTGCTCAGCAAAACCACAAGACACTCCCTTGAGAAGCCATCACAAAAGTTGCTTCGTCTTATTTGCATTTAATAATCCCAAACCTTTTAATATTACCATTCTGTACAGCAGTGAAGAGGTTAAAACTGGCAAGAATGTCTGGAAAGACATGGACGTATACTTCATCTTAATGAAACAGTTGATGAGCTCCCC